AGTATAACTCATTAACTCAGTAATATCTGAAATATACCTTATTTGAACAGAACAGACATTCCACTATCAGGAAAAAATCAGGTAATATTCTACCCTAGATTGAACAGAACGGTGCAATGAACGTACCAGAGGGTCTACCGAAGTGCTTGAGCTGTTAGCATAATAAACAAGCCAAACCCTCGGCATTCCATTTAATTGAATATGGTATAAATTTCAAAACAAAAAGCCACATTGAGCAAAATGCAACCACAGCAGCAGTCACAGTATTTCTTCATTGAATCCCTCCTCCAGAGACAGATGTATCCAGTAGAAGGAACCCCCCCAGTCCTGTTTCATTCTGAATAATTCCCATTGACCACATCCGTACCTTATTTAAATCCCGTAAATATAACTGAAAACTTCATTTCAGTTTTGGAAGTATTTTTTTTTTTTCTGAAATCATTTTCAGCTGCGCCACTGTGCGCAGCGTTAAGCGAATACAACCTAACTAGCTGTTACGCAAACGCTTGTATACATTTCTGATTGCCCAATCAATGTCTTTCAGTTACTGTGGAAAGTTTATTCTCTCTAGAATTGGATAAGAAACATGTCAATTTATACATCATTATGGGGAAGTTTCACGTGGCAGTGAACTATAAGTGTGCAGTTATGCAGATGAGCCTAAGTAAATCATTGGGTGATTGGCTATCAACATGAGACTTAGGAGGATATAAGGGAGCGCTGAATTCATCGATGGAGGAACCTACAGGTGAATCAAAGGTAGGGAACTACATGTTTTTAATATGTGATGACTATAATTGAAAGTAAAATGACATAGTATCAATACCATGTTGAATTTTTGCTTCAGAAAACTGATTTTTCTTAACTACAAATTGGAATACCATTGGCTCTCTGGTAGCTGAAGTGGTTGCTCCAGATAACAAAGATTTTTTTTCTGTCACAAGAGATCTTTTTTTTTGAACTGCTGGATAGATAATATGGGCAAGCATATTGAGCAGTTTGCACATCAGGCTTAGCTGAGGGCTTTAATTCATGCAACACCTGAAAAACAGAGATGGGAGTGAACCTGTCCATATTCTAAACCATGTTCAAGCTCAGCTTACTTGTGAATAGTCAATAACTGATCCAGGAGTGCCATCTAGTGATAGAATAGTGTAATTGCATGCATAAATTTACAGCCTCATGCCCACTGGCGTCTGCAATGAGGGGTTAAGGTCAGTGCTCGCAATTCTACAATAGGAGTGAAACTAGGAGAATAAATAGCATCCTTGGGAGCGCTGCAACGTGAAACCCACTGTTAACCAAAAAGAACATAAAGGCTCATCTCACATTTGCCAAAAAAAAAAGAAACCATTATGATGACACCCAAGACTTTTGGGATACTATTATGCATAAAAAGTGGATTTTTTTTTTTTTTTGACAAAATGAGTGCAATTACATCTAGCATAAATCTAACATAGCATTCACACAATAGGAACACCATACCAACAGTCAAACATAGTAGTGGTAGACTGACGTTCTGGAGCTGTTTTACTGCTTCAGGACCAGGGTGACTTCCCATAATTCTGCTGTCAGAAAATCCTAAGGAAGAATATCCGGCCATGCATTATCTGAAGCCCAAGCGCAGTTGAGATATGCTGCAGGACAATGATCCAAAGCACACAAGCACGTCCACCTCTGAATGGCCCAAACGAAACTAAATGAAGGTTTTGCAATGGCTAGTCAAAGTTCTGACTTGATCATATTGAGATGCTGTGGCATGACCTTAAACAGACCGTTATCGCTATTAAACCCTCCTAAGTGCCTGAATTAATACAATTCTGCAAAGACGAGTGGGCCAAAACAGTGATGTAAAAGACATGTTGCCAGTTAACGCAAACTTTTGATTGCAATTGTTGCCGCGAAGGGTGGTACAATCGATTATTAGGTTTAGAGTAGGATTTAATTAAGCATATAAAATAGAAGAGATCTGGAAGGGGGCAAATACGTTTTCACAGCACTGTGAGCAGAAAAGAGAGAAATCATTTCCATCACTTGTGGTGCAAGGTACCACAAAATACAGGCAGACTATCAATATTCTGTGAAAGTTCGCAACAGGATCACAAAGAGGCTTTTCTTGCTTTACTGAAGCGCAGGGACAAATTTCTCACTCTCAGTGGAGAGCAGGATGCATCAGTAACATCAGAGAACCAGCCACACACTGACTGATTATTAGTAAGCCGGGAATGATGGAAGCTTAGTCATCTTTCCCACAACTGCAGCCTCAGGCCATTTTATCGAGTAACAGATGATATACCTGATGCTGATGGAAGTGATGAAGATGACGATGATAACTGATACACTGCACAGCCTGTATCATAATATAATGTATTACAGAACACACCTGCATTTATTTAGTGCAATGCTTCAGGCTCCGTAGCAACTTTTCACAATAGACAAAAAGCAGTTTCCTCATCAGAATTTTAGCCCCACCCCGCAAAGTCAAGGTCATTACTCAAAACTTTAACCACACTGTGATGATGCAAATATTGGAAAAGAGTTCACCACTGCACTATAATCTGCTTTATCTACTGACCAATGCACTACACCAGAGCCTGCGCCCTGAACTATAGCTCAAGGCACTATACCCCTGTGCCCCAAATCATGGACCTGGAGAGCTGGTTTTCCACCCTCCCTTTACCTGGGAGTCTGGTGTGAAGCTAGTCTGACCAATCAATATTGCTAATTGGGTAGCTAATTACACACGAGGAAATAATGCCAGGGCTGGGTTCAGAAGTGAGGTCTAGATTTCAGGATACCCGCACTGTACCATAACCTGCTCCATTCACTGGTCAATGCACCACACCAGACACTGCTATACACACTGACTAATGCATCACATCAGGCGTGACATGCACTGGCCAATGCACCACACCAGACACTGCTATAAACACTGACTAATGCATCACATCAGGCGTGACATGCACTGGTCAATGCACTACACCAGACCTTACTCTAAATACAAACTCAATGCACTTAATCATAACCTGCTCCAAACACTGGCCAATTCTACACTGAATAGTGTTATATGCATTAGCTAATGCAATACACTATGCTCTGCGATATACACTGGTCAGCACACTACATAAGGCTGCTCTATGCACTGCTCCATGGCACAAAAGCAGTTGCTGGTCCAGAGAGCACAGGAAACTGCTTTTGTTCAGACACAACAATCCTCTGTGCTCTGCTGTGCAGGACCACTGATTCACAAAGGAAAGCAGGAATCCATTAAAGCCAAGTGTTTCTTTGCTAAATTTAATTACACTCGAGGAGAGCGAGGGGGGATGAAATCCAAGCAACTTGATTTTACAAATGACATACTTCTCTGCCAAAAAAACCCAGTGCAAATATAGCTAAAGTGCTAGACAAATGTTTCCAGTCCTGGCAAAATAAAGGATCTGACAAGACATCTCAATGAAACAGATCTTAAGCCCCTTTTAATCTTCTCTCCGTGCAGTGCCTAACACACAGAGATGAAGCGAGCCGTGTAAATGAAGGATACTGTTTGACAGCAGCTGTTCAAACTTCTCAGTTGAAAATTGATGTTTTAGTTGTGAATGGACGGAGAGACTAGTTGGGCTGGAGACAAAATTCTTTTCTCTCAAAAGGGCAGCTGTGATCAAAATTGGTTTTTGATGGGAGTCAGGACCCACGTTTCCAACTCCAAAAAGAGTTTACAACAGCCTTATCCTTCCTCCTAATTTAATGTGTAAAGCAGACAACAAGAAATGCAAAGAACAATCAATAAGTTTGAAATAAAAAGGAAAGAAAGAAACTGCTAATATAAACATAGAGCCGGAAGCCAAAACCATTCAGTGTTGACTCTCCATTTATGTATATTTAAAAATTTCTGTCTTGATAAGTTTCAATTCCTTCATGACATGTCAGTGATGATAAGCCCAGAATCAATGGAGAGCTTCTAATTGGTTCACTTGTGCTTTCAAGATGCGAGTCCTCCACAGAATTACACGATGACAACTGCTCATGATTAATGGAACATGCATACAGTAACCACCCTTGGCATGATGCCAAAGTACATCCGTACAATTTCCTTTAGCCTAATGCTAATACACCTCAGTAAAGAGACAATGGTATAGCAGAATGCTAACAAACAGCAGTACATGTGAAAGCTCAGCCACACAGGAAAATGTGCAAGTTTAGAACAAAAGGACTGCTGGGTCTGTCAGTTTTGTGTTCACCACAGAAACAAATTTAAACTCAAGAAATCATGAACGCAAGTTGCAAAATGATAACTTTAACCTCTTCCACCTTGGATTTCCAGTGCTGTGCTGTTAGAGTACATATCTCCAATTAAGAGAGAGAGGAGACGTAGCCACAATGCAATTATTAATTTATCAAATTACCTACCATTTTAACGCAAGTCTTTTTCAGGGTATTGAATCATCCCTCAAAGGTTGGCAATTTTATAAATGAAATGAATTATTATCGCATCATGGCTACAAGTATGCAACTGCCCCTCTCCGCATCTAATCAGCAATGTCATATTAAATTGTTTGCGAAGTCTAATTGGTGAAATGATTGGCCAATTTGTTTTTAGCTGCCATAATTGTTCATAGCATTACAGTTATCAGGAATTTTCTTATCCATATTGATCATGACATAATGTTTTCCATTTTGGATGTATTCCTTTTAACACTAAAAGCATTTAGAAATGATTAAAATGTATTAGACTGCTGAAAAAGAGATAACACAAGAGATGACATTCAGGGTAGGTTTTGGATTAATTAATTATTTGTATTGTTGCCATTGCTTCAATATCACATGTATTGCATTTACACTGTCAGTGTGGCCTATTGGTGATCTCTTTGTCATTAGTTTATTCATAATTTCTGAGTCATTAAAGGCTTATGTATCGGTCTTGCTTATTCAGTGGATTGTTAGATTGAAAATCAGGTGATCTTGAACAGGTTCAGGTTGAGAGCAATTACGCATTTGTGACAGGCCCAGGCGGGGAATTGAACCCCAAACTTCTTGGTAAGAGTCACACACGCTAACCACATCGCCAAACGGCCAGGCTTGTTGGCAAGGTAGCCAGGGCGCGTACTTATTAGGAGGCATTTCTGGTGACAGCACCCATCAATTGTCACATTGCTTCCCCTCTTTCGGGAGCGTGTCCTCATGTTCAATGCTTTACCCATGCTGCCATCCATCAGGATTCCCCAGATCCTGCCGATTACGCCAGAATGTGGCAGGGCGGGGAATTGAACCCTAAACTCCCGGGTAAGAGTCACACACGCTGACCACATTGCCAAAGAGCCAGGCTCGTTGGCAAGGTAGCCAGGGCGCGTACTTATTAGGAGGCATTTCTAGTGACAGCACCCATCAACTGTCACACATTGAAAGGTGAAAGGCTTCTAAACCTGTCGGCATGCCGCAGAAAATCCATCTGAAAATCCGGGGCCATTCAGGTTGAAGTGGTTCACTGAATGTTGAAGTGCTGGGTAGCACTTTGGTATATTGTAATATATTGTTATTCAAGAGTCACTGCATTTACTAACAAAAACCACCGGGTGAGTGATATTCCAATAGTTTTGGAGAAATAAGAGATTGACACTGATACATTTCAGATATCCCCCTGAAGTAAAAAAGCCTTCACTTGCCGTGCATGGTCGTTCTGGTGGGCTCGGCAAACAGGGGAATGAGCAGGAGGTAGATGAGGTAGACCAAGGATAGCCCATTGTACCGGAACATGCAAGCTGTGGGAACATAGGCACATGTCAATGGTGTTTTACGTGGGGTATGGTAACTGTGTTGCATTTAGAAAATGATTATAAACACAAGCAATGCACAAAGTACTACACAAACAGCGTGCACAGAGCATACAAGGGATATGCACAGAGTGTAAGGAATACACTGAACAAAGTATGCACATGGCGCACATATTTAATGTCCTGTACTTCACAAGAAACATGCCTCTGAAGGACAGACTGCAACATGGTAAGTGGATGGATGCCTACTGATGTATTCCTGGATTTTCCTTCAATCTTTCCTTAACAGACATGCCATGCTACAACATTATTGGGTTGTAGGACAATTTAGAGTTTTTTGAGGGCATAAGTAGCAAGTATGTAAATCCAGTGATTCGTTTGAGCATCATTTTCAACTGTTCTTTCAAAAATTTTGATTTCAGGTTATTGGGAGCAGTTAATGACAGAAAATAATTTTAATCATCATACAGTTGTCACACTTCTCGTGTGAATGCATCTTTCATTTCCCATCCAGCAACTTGCCTGTCTATCACAAGTGTTGTCTCTTTTGATTGGTTTACATCTTCTGAGCTTTCCTCACTGGCTGTGTCCTATTCTTGTTTACCCCTCCTCACGTGTGTGTCGACATATTCATACCCCCTGCTTTGAGTTTGCAAGTTGCTGGATCATCACTTGTTATATGTCTTTTAGCAACTCATCAGTATTTGCTGGTAAACTTCTTTCCTCTTTGGAAATTATTCATAACCTTTCATGATAGTAATTTACGAAAGTTCTCTTCCAGGTGCAGCAAATAGGAACAAGCTCCCAAGCCATACACTCAGTCTCCAGGATTGACGCTGCATTCCAATTAATCTACTCAATCTGTTCGTCTGCCCAGTTTATTTGGAACAATCCTCCAAGCCTTCTACGGTCATTAGGATTGGGACTGTGTTCCTGCTAAACTACTCTGTCCAGTCATCAGACAGTTCGGCTCAGGCGGAGGGAGCACTCCATCCGGCAGCGATCTTGGAAAACCATTGGCCAGGCAGATATGCCCCTACTCCTTGTCTGTTGCATTAGAGCTGAGCTGTATCATTCTGTCTTACCGTATTACTATCAATAAACCCTACTATTGGTTTGTACTAGGCCTCTGCATTTGGGTCCCGGTCTAAATCATAACAATAGTGTAGTTATGCTATAATTCTGATCAAATATGTCTTTACACCAAATAACAAATCATCAAAACAATACTAATGTTAAAATTGAACAGGGTGGATTATTCATCACCGTCAGCATCACATGATACAATTAGTAGCATACTATTAATTTTCGTCTCATTATCTACAAAGATAAAGAATGCAATCCTCACAGGGAAGATAAATGGGAAATGCAGTCATCCATCTTGTCCAAGGAATCAGAAAATGTAGCCACCAAAGAAACTCCAGCAGCTATAAAGGAATTTAACTTTAATTACTTCTTTAATGTTACTATCAGCCGTGACCCGGTGACTTGGCATAAGCTCAGCTCTTGGCCAAAACATACATGATGTGTGTTTGGAAAAGTCAAGTAATTTTTAAAGACATACTATCACAACACCCCTATGCATGACCTTTAATAATATGCAAAGATTTGCAAAGCTCACAAAGTAAAAGATTCATCAGGAGATTCTGGTGGATATTTTGAGCTTCGCGTTTGAGAGGATTTTGAAAGTGTTTTGCTGTCCAGCTTTTCTTAACTACAACTATAATAATAATAATAATAAGAAGAAAGACAACCATAGGCAAGAAATTTACTTCAAAATAATGGTGACGACTGGGGAGATGATTCCAGAGAAGATATCTCAGGTAAAGTTCTTTTCATTGCTGAAAATTTTTGCAGTTTTAGCTCACTTCCTTGCAAAACTATACCTAACAAAGACATTATTGTTGTCTTTTAAGTTCAAGTGCTCCTACACTTGCCAGAAATATGATCCTAGGAGCACTTGAACTTAATAAGAGAACCGAACAATGCAATTGGGCGCACCTGTGTAAAGGAAAAAATCTTGAGTGTTGCTCTCTTTGTCTTTGTGGTACGAAGTCAAAAGTGTCCAAAAATTAAAACTCACACCCGCTGAGTCTTGTTTGAATAGTGAATTCTCATGAACTGCAAACTATAACAGAGAATTAGAGTTCAGGAAGATGTTATGACTCAGAATTTAAAAAATGGCTCAAAAATGTGAAACAATAATCAATCTAGATAACAAAAGAATTGACCTAGATGACAAACATCCTAGTGTGCAAGGATTGCAACAATAAAACTTGATACTTGGAAGATCGTCAAAATTCTTTGCATCTCTTGAAAATGTAATGGGCATCGGCATGTAATGATAGTGCCCCTGCAAGCCTCGTAGTTCCTTAATCAGGGAAATGGGCTTGTACCTCAGGTATTGTGTTCTTAAGGTACGTATCTAACCTGAATTGCTTCAGTAAAACATCCAGCTGTATGAGCGGATTCCAATAATCCAATCCATGCTGGTCACTCAAGATAAGACTGCCTGCTCAATGCTAGAATGTGATGTAGTGGCAATCAATGTACAGCCCCAGCAGCGAAACATCATTTAACTGGGCACAGACTAGAGTAACACGTGACACAGACCCCATGCTGCTCTCCTGACAGAAAGGAGGAGAGGTAATGAAGCCATGAGCTGGTGGGGCAAGAGGAGATTGCATTAAGATAGGCGGGAGTGATGCCTCTCCTGTCAAACAGCAAGCACCCAGCACCTCTCAGTCCATTATCTGTAAAACAGCCAGAGTACAGCCATCAGCTCAACTGCGTTTAAGTCCAATTTTATGCACTTCTGCTTTAGAGTAGATATGGCCAAAATGCTCCCGTATTCAAATGTTAAACAAGCCCAAAATTGCAGTGACAATGCTATGGCCACCGTACCCCCATAGAATGTTATTATTATCACCTGTACCATTACTAAACTCCATGTTCTATAACTGAAGTTTTGTCATTTGTGAGAAGAAAAAAAAAATGCTGACTTAAAATATCAAGACAGGTTTGTTCTGAACAGATTATTTTTTTTTTGGGACAGGGATACACTACCAGTCTAAAGTTTTTGCACACCCTAAGATCTTGCCAAGTCTTTATCTTACATGTATGTTTACAACAAAGAAGTCACTGGAACCCAATACTTCTTTATTACAAATAATAAATTTACAAGAAAAATCCACAAGGAATCCAGCACAGGTGATTGAAATGATCAGCTCGCTGTCAACCCCCTGAAGCTGCTGGATAATGAGTAGATCATTTGAATCGCTTGTGCGGGAGCAGGGAGAGATCAAAAACATGCAGGACAGATGGTATTCCAGGAGAGGTTTGAGAAGCACTGAATTATACCATCGTTACTGATCTGCTTAAATATTGACAAAATTACTGGTCCTGGGTTTTCTTAATTTGCTTTGTAATGTACATGCTTTGTACATTGGGCTTCAGTTTTCCTACCCTTCCGTTATACAACCAAAATGAGACTATTACACAAGAACAAAATATAAAAAATTGTAACAATTACAGAAAATATTGGGGTGTGCAAAAACTTTTGACTGGTAGTGTATAAGCCAAACAAATTTAACAGCACCAGAGCTGTCATTGTGGTTGGAGGTAATTAATTGCATATATTATTGATGGTACTGTGAAGACATCAATTGTTGTTTCCAATAATATGTGCCTTCTTAAAAAAAAAAAAACATACATACATAGGGCAGGAATTTATTTTATTTTCCGTGGTGCGAAGAGAAATGGTAATTGGCTGTTATTTGGGTCAGTCTAGTCTTGAAAAGGTCAGATTTAAAGCCTACTGAATCAAAGCCAAAATTCTCAATGCATATTTTATCATAAAAAAAGAACTAAAAAATGAGTAAGATGGACTGAAGCCAATGATGAATTTTGCTTTTTTATTTTTTGCGAAGTTGAACATATAAGGTGTCTTTTATTGTCTGCACACGAAACTCTGCTTTACCGCAGAATTGTGGGGCATGTCTCCCTAATCAAGGGGAGCTGTCAACAACAGATAAAGTGATGCATGCGTTTATTTGCTCGTTAGCAATAAATAATATAATTGTACAACACAAAAAGCCATCATAAACAACAAGATCATTGCCTGAGCAATAAAAAGTACAACTGAGGATTTTTAGCATCTCTTAATTAACAGGAAAGCCATTAGGCTTGGCAGGTATATTGAACAGCCTGCAGTGCTCACTGCAGAGTTCTGTGGCAGAGTCTTTTTATATTGCTCGTCTGAAAAGCAATTGTGCAGCAATTGTTGGATTCAGCTTCATTTACCC